AGCAGGTTTTTCTTGTGTTTCTTGTGAATTTGGTCTTAAATTTTGATTTCAAGTGGCATTAAAAAGTCTTTCCTTATGCTGTAGGAACCCTGCTTTACAAACCATTTATTTCTTCCTCAAAATTCAAAAAGAAACTGGCTGGTAGAGAGTCAAATTTGTGGGCACTAAGGTTTTCTGTGTGTATTTAAATAATTTATAATTATTTTACATGAATTGTATTTCTTAACCATAATGATTTTTATGTAATTGTTATTGTAATTTAATCTTGTGATTTTATACTTGTGTTTATTTTTAAGGTTGCCTTTTTTATACCTGGCTGGGGGACTACCGATGAAAATTAGCACTCCTTAGCTAACTCGGGTATATTTACATTGTTTCAATGTTGATTAATGTACACTGTCCCCTTTCAAATAAACAATAAATAAATAAAAAAATAAAAAAAACATTATCTCCCAGCCAACTATTAGCAGCTGTTGCTAACTTACAATCGTTGCGTTTTTACATCATGGTAGTTTTGCGGCTATAATAGTGAAGAAATAGGAGCATTGGACAACGGGGGAAGAGAAGAAAAAACAACTTTATCCAATCTTGAGTCACTTTCTCACTTTAACACCTCTTTATTTGCTTTTGTCTGGCTCAGGCTTAGTGCCTGTGGCCACTGGTCCAGCAGTGTAAACAGGAAGGGTAGAGATAGTGGTAATGTGAGCATTCACCCTCCCTTTGCTGTAAGCACCTTGGTCCGCACAGATAAGCATCAGAAATACGTGATGAAGTGAACAGAGTGCTGAGTAAGATTAACATGAGGGAATGTCTTTCACAGATTACAGCAGATAGTTTAAACAAAGCAGAGGAAGGAGGTTTTATGAAAAAGAATGATGGTCTGTCAGAGTGACTGCCACATGAAAAGCTTTACAAAAGTATTCACACCTTTCACCCATTTTTGTTAAACAGCAGAAATGGTGCCAATCCTCATGAAGGACCTTCCACTGCAACTAGAACTTCTGGTGTTTTGGGCTCTGTCTCAAAAAGTTTTCACACCCAAAGACTGATATTTTTGCCCAGTTTCTTTGGGAAACAACTCGAGTTCAATTGGTTGGATGGAACGATTGGGTGAAGCATAGTTTCTAGATGTTGCCACTGTTAATAATGGATTGAAATTTATTCGAACATCAAAATGGGGTAGGAAGAAGTGAAAACTTATTAACTCCTACCCCCTAATAATAAAGAAATACTGTTTAGTCTAAACCTTTGCAGAGTAGATCAATTGTAAAGTCCTCTGCGGCCTTTACTAGGTTTTTCCAGCTCGGTCCATCCTCCCGTTAACCTTTGCCAGCTCCTGTATCTCCTCTATCATCCTCACAGCACGATGCTATCATCCCCGCCGGGTGTTCGATGCTGTTTTCAACATGATTTGAAGTTTTAAGTTCTTGTGAAAACCATTTTGCATGTGAGCAAAAAAAGTACAACTTTAGTGTCCTCTTGTCAGAGGACCTTGTATAAAAATCCCTTGTTCACTCCATGGCTTGTTTCAAATGTGATTATCCTGAATTCTACATAAGTTGATGCGCTTCAATCAATTTTG